GGGCAGCCGGTAGGTGGCTGGAGCGGGACAGGATAGGAAGCGGAAGCGAGACGGGAGCGGAGCAGGGCAGGCAGGGCAGGAGGCCGGCCAGCGGTAGTAGGCCGGTGCAGATTGCTGGAGTTGTAGCAATCTGCGGCAGAATTTCGGTAGGTAGAGTGTCGCGGTCGATACTGTGACAATTTAAGCGTATAGATAAGCTCTCTAAGTATCTATAAATACGCAGCCGCATATACTAAACCCTAGGCCCTTACCTTACTATTAATAAAATAATACAGAGGTTTATAAAACGGGCTAGCGAAATTATTAACATTCTATCTAAACTAATACCAGAGGGGTTTAAAATATAAGTTCTTATAAATTAAGGCTATATTTTTAATTAGCTATAGTATGCTAAGGGAGATAAAAAAGGCCCTATTAACCTTAATAAATTATTCCTTATAAAGGGCTTTACTAAAATATAAGCTATTATGCTTAATTTTTTAATATAATATAATTCTATTATAAATTAACCCCTTTATCCACCTTATAAGTATATAGTTTAGCTGGATAATTTTTTCTCTAATATAAAGCTATTTAAGAGGCTTCGTAAGCTTAGAATAGGAGCAGCTAGCACTATGCGCATAACTAAAATAAAAAGAGAAGAGATAGAAGGAATTAAGATAAATATTATTGCTATTAAGAAACAATCTAGCGCTTTATAACGCTAGATAAAAAGGAAGAAAATTAAGCCTGCAGAGAGCTTCTCTCTATTGCTTATAGAGCTTAAGTTAAGCTATAATAGGCAAATTCTGTAGGGCACGCTATATAGCGAGTTGTTAAAAAGTTATAAAGTAATAGAATTCGCCTGGAAAGATATAATAATAGTTTTGTTCCTGTCTACTGTGTATAATAGGAAGGATTATATTGCTAAGCTACGGAAACAACCTATAAAAACAGCTACAGGATATTATTAAACAGTGAAGATATTCGGTAAAGAGGCGCAGGCGTGGCTTAATATTCCAGTGATGATTGATAAGTATAACCTCTGGATGTGCGGCGTGGACGTGGCAAACCAGATGCGCAGCTATTATAATACAAATCGTGTCCATAGAAAGATATAGAAGCTATTATAGAGTTTCCTGTTAGATACAGTTGTGGGCAATAGCTATATGCTCTTACTATACAGGCCCGAGCCGGGCTCAGGCAAGCGCGCATTACGCTAAGATACTCATCTACAATTCTGTCGAGACCTACGAGATAAGCTCCTACATGCATCTATTCGCTATCGCCAGCAAGATTCTATGCAGAGAGCGAAGGGGCCTATGGATCTTGTTTGGAGACCGGTTAATGAGCATTAGCATGTTAAAATGTTCACAAAACAACCCACCTGCGCCGGCTGCTCAGCTAAGCACCGCGCAACTTCAAAGCCTCATCTTGGCGCTTGAAAAGCTCTTGCTGAGCTATCTGTTAATACAACACAGAAGAAGCGAGAGGATAGCAGGGGGTGGAAACGCCGTGAAAGGCCGCCAAGAACGAATTGGGGCTGTTCTGTATGCAACATTCCGTTCTGTAGAGAGGGCACGTGCTGGAGCGAGCACGTAGCCCGGCTCAACACCATTGCCTAGCTCTACAAGCAGATATGTACATAGAAATCACGAATTCAAACATTCTCATCTCTCCGTAGCTCTCATACTCAGGGGCCGATGCGGTGCATCTGATTGGCTACAAAAAGTGGCCCGAGCGTTGCGCCTTAATCGACGGGTTAAGGGATAGTAATGCAGCATACCGTGCACTAGGAATCTGTGTAGAATTGATAGATGAGATAGCAAGGAAGAGGTCTCCTTCGTTGTACGGCAATGGATTTGTTGTTGGTGGAGCCATTGTAGTTAACAGAGGTCGCGTTGCAAAAAGTTGAAGGGTGCGCGACTCGCTTGCCTGCGCGACTCGCTTGCCACCTACGTTATAGGTTTTTCCAGCGATTCGAAACTGCGTTACCTTGTTGGCGTCCTCACGAGCTGGATTAATAGAAAAAGGTGCTAGGATAACATCGTTAGTAACCTGAACTGACTGGCGAACACCAAGGAAGCTGGCGAGAGAGCGCTGAGGGCGTACGGCCTCGTTAACGGGCTAGTGCTGGCTATAGCGATGAGGTGTTGAGCGGGCGCGCGAATAGCCTCAAAAACGGGTATCAGGCGGGCAAGAGATTTCACAGGGGAACAGGTCTAATTTTGTATGGCTGCGGTAACGATTTTAAGACAGGCTCCCGTACAACTCCCCTTGCAGCGCCTCGGAGGCCTCGACTTCTACGTTGAGAGAGGAAAGCTATGGAGCGCCTGGAGGCTCCACAGCCTCAAATCCACCCCACGCCGGCCAATCAGAGCTCGAACCCAACCCAGTATATAGGGTAACCCATCCACTCCGGCTCCAAGTTAACCCGGTCCAGTTCCATCACTGGATACGGGGAGCAGCTGTATCTCGACGGTAGGATTGCGGCTGTGTTGAGCTTATGTGGTGCGCTATCTTCTGATAGCTGAGGGTGACTAGGGTCAAGATACGTACTCCGTAACTCAGGTCGTACTATGGCAGGGTCCCTGACTTCGAGGAAGAGCGTATAGATTCGGCACGGAGCTAGAGAATGGGGTTCCGCCGGCTCAACTCGTCTTGGATGGTCTAAGATTGTGGTCGAGCAAGCGGCAGGATCTCCAGTTTACATGCGCGGAAATCTCGATTACGAGACAATCGCGGTAACGAGGTTTGTGCCGAGGACAAGGAAGCAGATATCTGCTAATCTCAGAGGACTTATGAAAGCATCATCAAGAGTCTGAGTAGAATATGTCTATCATCGGGAAATGCTGGGGTCACTCATAGAACCAACTGCCGATTGGCATCGTCGGACGTCAGAATAAGCATCTTAGCCCAATCCAACTCATCTCCAAGGCTCCTCGTATTGATGAATCGCATCCCTCGTCTCACACTAAACGCCTGATAACTTTATATCATCGTACCTGGCTGAATCCTTCCCTTCTACCCTCATCCCTCTACCCGCACACCTCCATTCCATCATACCGATACGAATGCCTCACCGCCGCCACCTCGCCGCCAACCCCGGAATCAACTGCCCCAACTCCCTCGCCTTCTTGCCCCCTTCTTCATTCTTCATCCTGCCACCCGCCTCGCACCACTAGTCCAGTAGCCTAACAGCATCATCCACAAAGCATCCCCGGGCCGCCGCTTTACCATAGCTCTCCTCAAAATCAACACGCTTCAAGCTCGTCAGCTTCGCGAAGGCGGGCCGAAGTTCTCTAACACGGTATCTAGCGAGTCGTGCTTCTTGAGAAGGAGATGCTTGGGATGTGTAGCGTACGGGCTTGCCGTTAGAAGCATCAGCATAGTTGTGTCGCAGGTGTCGACGTGCACGGCGTTTGCGAAAATGGCTTCGGCGGCTTCAGCCGTCAAGTGTCCAAAGGTGTGAGGGTTGAGGTAGAGCAGGGTGCTCTGGCGTTGCTGTAGTTCGGGTGGGAGTGCAGTGAGAACGGTGGTGAGAGAGTGGAAGGTGTGGAGATCGAGGCGGGTACTGCAAGCAAGTGAGTTGATCAGTGGAGAGGGAATCGTAATACGGTGGGAGGGCTTACGTTCTGGCTTGCATCACCATCTGGACAGTCCGGTTGTGGCCAGTGGACCTTGAGTCCGTGATCGGGGAGTTTACATGAGTCGTCATGGGGGTCTGAGAGGCCATAAGTGTTGACATTGTGGTTTCAAAGAAATGTCCAAGGCCACTGTACTGCACAAAGTGGTGCTTTGTTGATAGAGCGTGTGAGAGTTACAGGTAGCTGAACATAGGGGCTGCACTTATAGGGTTGTCTTAGACTCAAGCCTGGGTATCAACACCAAATACAGGACATAGCAACCCAAGCCAGCTCGCTACGATCCCTTCCCTACGTATACGGGCCGAGACTTCGTCCGTGGTTTCTAGCTTCCCGGGTTATCTCTGAAAAGATCTGACATGCTAATAAGACATTTGGTAGTACTAGTGAGGAGTTATATAAAGGTACACTAAGTGCAAGAGCATACCGAAGAGAGGTGAGTCTAGTGTTGCTTCGAAGAAGAAAAAAGCGGAGACCATAGCCTACAAACCGAGGGTTGCGCAACCATGCAGATACTTATACAATACGTTCTCCTGTTGCTTACTCTGGAATTTGGAAGTGCATATTTGTCCATCTGACTGTCGTTAATAGATCCCTCCATCCATGGAAAAATGGTTTGACGAGTATCAAGGCAAATGCATCCACGTTGCATCAAGTAATCCAGTTATCACAATTAACGTCATCCAGAAAAAGATCCCAGTCCATCCAAGGCGAAGGGTCAGTGAAGTGACCAAGACTATCCAGTGCCGCCACAAGATCCTTGTCCTCGATGGGTCCAGCAAATAGATTTTGGTCCATGTCTGGAACTCCACCATCTTGTAAGAACTCACGCGGTGACTCTTCGGGTTTGATCGTAGATCTCAATGTAGTAGTCGTCTGAGTGGGGGCGTTCTCGAAGGCATGACCCGTGAGGATGTCGGCAGTCTTGTATCGATTGTGCAGTACCATTCGAGTCTTTTTCATCAGCTTTACAATCGGCCTCCAAAGCATGCCTGTGTACGCATCCGCTATTTGCTGAGAGTACTGCTCGAACGCACTTTCTGCCGCAGTCCAAGCTCGATTGATACTTGGATGGTCCGGCTGCGTACATATCTCCGCAAGGACGACGGCAAGGGCATACCATGGCACCCAGATAAACCATCCCCAAGGATTTAAGATTGGAGGCCGATTCTTGAAAAGAGAGCGCTCAACCACTCCGGTTGCCGCAATCAAAACATCGAATTCATCCGGCGGGGGTCTTGATTCCTGCGGCGTGCGATGCATTGGTCGATAGAGCAGTAACCTCACCGACGCTGCAATATGCGATGCGGTCATCTTTGCATTGAATTGGAGGGGGTCGGAGTCGTCGCAGTATCTAACCACGCGCTCTTGCATCTCGTTTTCGAATCGCGTGAGTACTCCAAGTCGGTCGTTCCAAGTTTGGAGCTGATCGCGCGATTGACTCCCACGGCTTGTAAAGTCGTAGCCGAGTCGACGATAGCTAACCATAGCTAGGTGCGTTACTAGAGAGGGCGACATGTCTGTGAACCCCCCGGAAGTCGTCGGTAAACCAGTCAATTCGGCATCGTTGACGTACGCAGGCGGTCTTTGGAATTCCTCGGGGCGGAGCAACGGTACAGAACCTCGATCTAGAGAGGTCTGTATGTCCAAGAGACCGATACAATACCACACTCTGCGCTTCGCTTCCTTGTCCAAAAGAGACGAACGAGGGTCTTCCACGGTAGGTATTCCCTGGCCATTTGCGAGACGAATCGCTAAAGCCACAAGAGCCCATGTAGTTGATCGGTTGGTACGAGTACGAAGCCCTACCTATGCGATGGTTGGTCATTAGCGACTACAGTATTTTAGAGATCAAGCCAGCAAGATGTGAGGGCGCCAGAGTGTCGAAGAAGTTGAGTAGTCTTACAAGGTATATAACAAAAGCTTGCAAGACAACATGGTCCCTGCTGGTTATAAGGTCCGCACGTGAGAAGGCGGCCTCAGCTGCCACCTGGAAACGTTTGTTCAGCGACTCTTTGTCTTGGCCTAGTGCTTGCATAGACTCCGCTTCGGACAAAGTGCACATGGCGGCGAAATAGATGGCATATTCCAAGGCCTCGAAGCTCAGAGACACTGGTCGCGATGGATAGGAGTATTTCTCGGTCACGGCGGCAAGCATAGTTGGCCAATGACCGACCATGAATATGGCATCAACTCGAAACTTGAAGATGGAGAGTAGTTTGTCTCTTAGTTCCTGAGAAGGTGGCTGCAAGTCCTGGCTTGGTGTACCTTCTGACAAGTTTGTAAAGAGCACGGCATTCGAGTGGAGACTTTGTCCCGGAGATGCGTCGCTTGCAGTGTTCTGGCTTTCCGGAGACTCGCCTTCATCGTCGGACGACTCTTCCAAAACATCCCGTAGTCCCGTGACCTGCGAATGAGTCGATCAGCTCCCCTGAGCCCTCAAAGCGATATTATCGTGCTAATACCTCTGCAGCAAGACCCGTCCAAAAGTCCGGCGCGACGAACCTTTTCGCGTTGATAGTTGGATCTTCGTGAGTAGTCCTCGCGACCGGAAGTCCTGAACCAGGCTCCTGCTTCGGCGACGATGCAGTTGCTTCCAGCTGTCGCACCATATCCTCCAATCGCAAGATCCTATTGTTGAGAGCATCCTTCCGTGGTCGACGCTGGCGCTTGTGCTGAACAGCGGTGCATTCGAGTTTTGTCTTTTGGCACGGGCCGCAAGGCAACGTCTTATCGCACTTGACTTTGCGTTGCCGGCATTGCTCACAACTCAGCTTCGTTGTAGGAGGAGCCATCACAAGTGGAACGAGTAGAGATGATCTAGCTCACTGAGGAATGCAAGTATAGAGATGAGGGTGATGAAGAGGTGAGCTTCGTGGTGACGTTGACATAAGCCTAGTATGCTGCGCAGGGGGGCTGGAAAGGCCCGAGTAGACTAGGGACGTTGACATAAGCCTAGTAGACTAGGGACTAGACACTAGCGACGAGAATTAGCGGCAAACTTTAAACGGCCCTTGCGATCTCAGGTTATGTTTTGATATTCGCCTCTTGTAGCATTTTCATTTTGAAGAGACTCATGTGTGCTCTCTGACATTGCGATTATGTTGTTGAGAGCAAGTGCTGGGACGGTGAAGCGAAGTGTTTTCGGAACAGAGGCGGCAATTCGTCGCGCCCGATTTCCAGAAGGCTGCCCAACACTCGGAGCTTCGGAAAGGGCCGAGTAGTGTTCTGGTCTTGTCTTTTGACGTTGGTGTTGAAAATTGCTCAGCCGATTACTCAGTGAGTCGGCCTAGCCCTACCGTACCTGGCTAGACGATCAGCCCACAATCCCGCAGAGACGCAAGGCCTAATGCAGTCTAGTCAGAGAATTCTCACGAGTACATAGCCTATAGTACCTCCTACCGCGGGAAGGAGCGAGTGCGCGTACTAGGTCTTTCACAAGGTATCGTACGGTGATGGCGGGAGTGCATCTTCCTAGTAGATAAACGTGATCAAGGCTTCCTGCGAATTTGTATCTAAGCCCCCATATTATGATCGCGACGTGTGACGCGATTTAGCGGTTCAAATCGCGGTCGAAAGCAGAATCATGTTATATTTGAATGTCTGTCGAAGTTCATGGTTGACCAAAAGTGAAAGTGGGAGACTCTAGTAGTGATTCCCAGTATTTGAGTGGCCGACCTGGTTTCGGACTCTATCCGAAAGATGCAGCAAAACAACTCGAGTCTATTTGCGATATGATGAAATGTTACCCATGAACGACACTACACCAACCATAGCGCAATGAAGAAATGGCGATCTCCACCTGCCTAGGAGATGCCGGAGATGATATCTTCCGCGATTAGCTCCGACAGAGCATCTGCTACTTGTTAGCAAATGCAAATTCGACCTCACGCGGTGGGCAATAGGAAAAATTTCTTACAAATAGTACTCATCGGATGTCCCGCGGGGAGGAGTGGGAAGATGCTCGTATCTACAACTCGCAGGCCTTCAACGCCATAGACTCGTCCTCTCGTATCGACGACGGCATTCTTATCGTCTTTCTTGCCCATCGAGCCTGAAAAGCCTCGCCATTAGTATCCTGATAGCTCAGAGGAGCTACACGAGAAATGCTTACACGTGGAACTCGCATGATATCCATTATCAGCCTTCTTCCTCACCCATTCAAGAATCTCAGCATCTGTGACAACATTTGGACCAGGCTCAACCTCGCTGACCCAAACGCCAGTCGCTCTAGCCAGCTCTCTTAGCCGTTTGATAGCGCCGACGGCCAACTCTTCTTCTGCCTTTGTACTCATAGCATTGACATCGACGATGGGTCGCTCATGAGGGTCAGCACTGCGAAGGGTGACGCTACCACGGGAGAGGATCGTTTGGACAGCAACGGTGACGGACATATAGTTATTCGCGGCAGGTTTATCAGGTGGGTTGGAACCCGGTGAGAGGCCGAGATATTCGAGCTCGGGGAAGTCGTCGGCGAAGGTTGCGAGTGCATCCTGAGTTTCGGGGGAGAGAGATGAACGGTTGGGGAGTTTCTCCCATCCTACACGCCCGTCAGATATGACACATACAAAATGGTGTTAAAGCATGTAGCTTACCAAGTACGCCTCCGCCCACACCAGTAAGTGGGCCAGTTTGTTCTGAGAGATACGCTTCCACGGCCTCAGCATGAACGGTTTCGTTGACAGTGACACCGGAGTTTGTAGTGACATTCGTTTCATGGCTCGTGAAGATGAAAAGATGGTCCTGAAGAGCCTGTTAAGTCGGGTTCTCGAAGATCTCAGAGAAGGGCTGCTATATACTTACCCACATGTTCTTGCCGACTCCAGCGAGATCTGAGACTACAGGAATGCTGAAGTTCGAGAGAGCATCAGCTGGACCAATGCCCGAAAGCAGCAGGAGATGAGGAGAGTGGAACTGATTTGGTGAGTAAATTGATAGCAGCGGATAGATAGAGCGATCGTACCACGCCTGACGAGACAATGACTTCTTCCTTGGCCGAGATGGTGTACTCTGCACCGTTCGTTTCCACAAGCACTCCCTTGGCCTTCTTTCCATCGAATACAATTTTCTTGGCAAGAGTACGGAGGTAGAGCTTCAGAGCTGTCGTGTCAAGAGCTTCCTGTAGGAAGGATGCCTCCGATGAACTTCGGGTCTGGAATTCGGCGCTGACAGCAAGCGTGCTTGGCGCAAAGCCATCTAGATGGCCACTGTTCAATCCGTCGATTGGCTTGAACCCAGTCTCATTGAATGCCTTCACCATGAATTGATCGAATGCCGCCCTAAAGTTTGGGAACGATGCCTCGAGAGGCCCACCGGTTGGGCTGTACATTTCAGGGTCGTATGGAATGGAGACATTGCGGCCGATCTTATCGAGATTCGGTGGGGTGAACTTTACGCTCTTCTTGAGGTACGGGAGAAATTTGTCCCACGTAAAGGACGAGTCGCCGACGAGATCGGACCACGTATCGTATGCGCCTTTGTTCGTTCGATGAAAGATCATGTCATTGAGAGCGGAGCTGGGATGTAATTAGTCCACGCCCAGCGTAGGGCTTTCCTAGTTCACGCACCTCCCACCCAGTGTTTTGCCTGCGGATTGATTAGCTTTCGCCTATTTTTGAAGGCATACACATTTCTTACCTGCGGAATAATGTATCTTTCGTCCCCCAAAACCCTAAATGAGGATGAGCATCGTATCTCTCTCCCGCCTGCGAGGATGGCGCCTGTCTGCAACTCACCTCTTGTGGTTCAGTGATGATTCCCCAGTCCACCAACACCGGACTCGGTTCCAAGTCATTGAAACTCAGATACTGGGCTCCGTACCCAGGAACTACGCTGGTGTTCCCATTGTCCAGCTCATAAAAGCTGCCCGCCTCGATTACTGCAACCGTGACGTTTGCACTGGAGGCAGCCAGTCGTGAAGCAGTTGCTAACCCAGCTGTTCCACCGCCAACGACCTGCTTTTTATGAGCCTTTGGCGACTGATTCCGGGAAAGAAATTACGCACCACGTAGTCGTAGGTCACGTTCTCGGCGAGGATACCGAAGGCATTCCCAAAAAGCCGTGTCCTCCCATTCGCCTTGGTAGCGCCAAAGATTGCAGAAGCTCCCGAACCTAAGCCAGATAGGGCCGTAAAGATTGGTGTCCAACGCATGTTTGTCGTTGGTCTGCCGCGACCAAAAATCTCCGAAAGATAGTGGCTTCAGCATGACATGACCACGTCACTACTCTTATACGTCTGATCACTCAATTGCGTCTTCCGAATCACGGTCTACTTCTCAGCGTCATCACAAATCCTGCTGGTTTTTTTTTTTTTCAAAAGGATGAGCAGTCATGCAAGGAACGGAATCCCGGACACTGACCCTAAAACGTAGATTTGTCCCGTTCCTTCAGCACCGCGAGTTCGGTATAGAGGACGGAAAAGCACATTCTACCCGGCACTGGGGACGTCAGGGGCTGCATGAAGTCATGAGATAGGAACCGAGCTCGGCTCCAGTCCGAGAAGGGTCTCGTTGTGGTTTGGTTGGAGCTCGTGTTGCTGCTGAGGGTTGAAGAACCGGGCACCAGTATCCAAGGTGCTCGAGCTGCCTTTCTCAGAGTTACCGGAGTGATGCGAGATGCTCAATGAGGAGCGAGATGCTCAATGAGGAAATGTTTGGATTTGTCCCACTGGGAAACGTGGCGTGACGATCATTGCAGGGGTTCTGGGCATCAACGTGGCGCACGGGGACCGAACAGCGGGACGTTACTATGAGGCTGACAAAGCCCGAAGAAAGACAAAGGCGAATTGCTGCAACTTAAATTTTACTTGCTTGCTGCATAGTGCATTCGCGGAAGGAGACAATGTTGTATTAGAGGTGTGAGTCGATGCTGGTGTTTGAACAAGTTACGGCATGAAATATATTTGTGAGACCTCCAGTACGAGCTAGAAACGGAGAACAGCACGTGAAGAACTTGAGGATGTGAAATGGGGACGAGTATTTGTCAGCTAGGGATCATCTTAATGCTTCCAAGTTGCAAATCGGGTCGTTACTAAGAACCTGTTGAAACCATGGGGGTATTTGCGAGAATCACCAAGACGGACTAAGGAACGTAGAATAGGACGTAAAGGAGCGGGGGCTGTGAGTTCGAGTTCCGTAACTGCGGTGAGGTAACTGATTAGCAGTATGCAGGTTTAAGCTGTAGGTAGATTGGGCCGTTCTACGAGCGCGCTGACACTTTGAAGTCTTCTATTCGCGTAGCCTTAAAAAGTTCGCAGAACCTGAAGCTGTAGACCTTCGCAAGTAATTGTGCCCTTCGAAGGGCGATTGGCTGAAGAGGGGAGATGCTGCGGTGGCTGTGGAGACTGCGGTAGGTTGAGAGGAGAGATTTAAGTCGGCCAACGTCATTGATGATACACGTGACCGGGCTGAGCAGCTAGGCGGATTGCAAGGCTGCCAGCATCCTTACCTGACGGCCGCCATCAGAGAGAACACTTGTGATATAACTACCCCCGCCTTGCTAACATCCTCATTAACGACGGCAGCTACAGGAACGACCCATCGCATTTCCTACCCTGCCTTACGACGCGCTTTGTATTCGCGTCGACGTCTTCGAAGGATCGCAACATCGCACGAACTGTACATCTCGAGTGCATTCACATTTGCGTTACGAAGACGAGAACGACTCGCCGCAATGGACCCCAAACAGCTCCCGTCATATTCATCTACATCAGCACAGGAAGATGTCCGTCCAGAATATACCCCATCTCGACCGCCCTCCTACCGCACGGTGGCCTCTACGACTCAGCCCACCCTCCCGAACACACGGCCACGAAATGCCGGCCCTCCCGCAGGAATTCATGCGCCTCTAATATCCACATCCCGTGGCCCCCTAGCCGTAGCCGCTCAGTACAACCTCTACGTCGAGTCCGGCTTCACAGGTCGCAAAAGCGTCACCTTCACCCTCCCCGACAAGCGCACGCCAGCCTACTTCGTTGACTACCGATCAGGCCGCGCAGACCTCCTCATCCGTCGCGGAAACTCGTCAGGCCCAGTCATTGGCAGCGCTAAATTCCACCACTTCACCTCGCGCGTAGACTTAGAATATGGGCAGCAGAAGGCTGAGATGCGCAAGGACGGCGCCTTCACGCGTCGCCATGTCGTTGACATGCCCGCCGGCCCCGATAAATCATACTATTGGAAGGGCACAAGCGACTACAATTCGTCTTTCTTCACGGGTGGAAGTTTGAAACTCGAGGGTGCGAGCGGAACTGTCTTTGTGGCGTTCGCGCGCTCGAGGGGCCAGTCTAAGGACGGGCAGCTCAATATACTGATGGAGGGCCTCGATGAGCAATTTCTGGACCAGATCGTGGTCAGCTTCATGGCAATGGTGGAGGTAGAGAGGAGGAAGCGTAAAAGCGCAGCGGCAGCGTCAGGAGGAGGAGGCGGCGGTGCCTGAGCTACTAGCATCAATGTAAGATACGTTTTTTATGAGCAAATGAAGTTTTCAATACCAAGCCTTCTAGTTCTTGTCCTTCTTAGCCTTGGTATAATGGTTCTGCAGTGCTTGCGTCCATGTTTGTCTAGTAATGCCCCCCACGCCTCTCTCTGCGCCATCAGGTGCCTTTCGCATGCCTACATCCGAACAGATCGTCGTCGATATGACTACTAGGCGCAACCCTAACTTCAGAATCGAGAAACTCCATGCGCGCGGTTTTGGACATCGTCGACAATGACGATTAGCGGTTGAAACGTACGCCACGTGAGTTCACCTGCTGGGGCACAAAGACGACCTAAAGAGCCTTGCCAACTCATATTTATTCCCAGCAACCCATTCGGACGATCCCAGTCGCATTTCTTGACTAAGTCTACATGCATGCATCTTGTCGCCTTCGCTGCATCGCATTAAATCGACAAACCGCTCTTTGATAGTGATGGCGACATCTAGCTATCCTATTTACATCCCAATAAAACAGCCTTCCCACTCGACCACACTCTAAACATATCCAAACCAACCCCGACACTTTGCGGAGACTCAGATTCAATCTCTTGAACTGCTCGCGTCAACTCCAAGCCCTCGACGTGAGCTCTCAAACGTACCTCGGATATTTTTGGTGAGAAGGCCCAATGCGTCGTAACAATGCTGGGCGAGATCTATCTCCCAAATCCATTTCATCCTCTGAGTCCATATGTCTTTCCAGCGCTCTGCATCTCCATTCACCGACGCATCAGTGAAGCCATACAGTTCCATCGCTTCTCTGCTCGTCTCAACAACCTTCTGGGATCGCGGTCTTTTAACGGCGTCGTATGCAGCTAGGGCGGGGGCGATATGCTCCGGATATTTAGCGTAGCGGAACAGAGTTGCGAGAACCAGGGCATCTTCAATTGCTTGTCCACACCCAGCGCCTTGGAAAGGCGTGGTTGCGTGAGCGGCATCTCCCATCATCGCGGTTTTGCCAGTATTGTAGTATGGAGCAGGCAGATGATCCAACATCGCCCAAAGACTTGGCTCTTCAGTCATCTTTCCAATCCATCAGTAGAGTCTAGAAGGCCAGGGAAACGAACACGGGAACACGGATGATGGCATACCTCGAGAATTTTGGTAGGCACCTCACTCCAGCCCTCGAAGTCCTCCATCAGCTTCTCGTTGCTCGAAGTAACGACCCCCGTGGGTGCCTGCCACCCCACCGTGAGCAGCGACAACGTTCAGCGTCTTCCCAAAATCAATCGGGTATGTCATGACCATGCCTCCACCACCACACCACATGTACGCATCGTCAGCAAGCTCGCCTAGCTTTGCCCGAGCCTTATTCATTGGAATCAAGCCGCGATATGCCACGATGCCGGAGAAGACTGGAGTCGCCGCGGGCTGGGCTTTCCCTACGATATGCTCGCGGGTGGCACTGTGGACACCATCAGCACCGATCAAACAATCGGTCGAAGTGCTCGTTCCATCGGCAAAATGAATCAAGACTTAGTCCCTAGACTCGTCGACCTAGGGGATCAACTTGATCAGCTCGGCAAGAAATTTCGCCCGGTGTACTGTCTGCTGGCCAGTGGCATTTTTGCACTTCCCCAACACGTCTTCGATTCCCTGGAGGCCATTGCGGAATTAAAACCACGTCTTTTCGAACTCTGCGGACGTGTTGGCGGTCGCATGTCGTCGAAATGCGCCTGCGGCGAAGGACGAGATGCAAGCTAAGGCTCTTTGCGCATTTGGTCCCAACGCTAGTCCAGCACCGATTCCTTTAAATTCTCGTGCGGCTTCGTAGATGGAGATGTTGAGGTGTGAATATTGGAGCAAACCAATGGCAAGACAAAGGCCCCCAATGCCACCACCAGCAATAGCAACCGACACAGGGTTGTAGTGATCCATTGGTGCGAGCAGGGAGGATCGAACAACAGCAGGGAAGTATCGTGCACGAATCAGGTGAACGAGTCAATTAGGGCTAGAGATGCCTTGGTCTGCGTGCTAGGCTTCCCGTTTTATCCATTCAGGCTGCTTCCTCAACGCCACAACCGCAGATCATGAAGACGTAGGCCTAGACATTATCTTAATTGCTATCGTACATGGCAGTCCCATCACCTCCTCCAGTGGGCCGGTTGTCCAGCATGTCTTCTTCATTTCGCTACAAAGTATCCCCATTGCGAGACCCGAAAGACGGTGGTAGTAGAATGGTGACGAGGAGTGGAGACTTGTGTATATGGAGCGGCAGAGGGCGGGTTTGAGGCGCTCTGCTGTTTGAGAGGCTGTCCGAAACAGGCGAGATGTGGATTACTACATTCAGCACTACCGCATTTGGGGGTCCGAGATCGACAAGGCGAGTTCCCCAACACGAGAGTCATGTGACTCGCTAAACCCAATCCACGCTCCGACATTCACAAAGAAAGCGGTTATGACGTCGCAAGGTTTGCAAGGCTGCCCTCTTCGTCCTCTCCAAATTGCCAGAACATGTCCTTCCCGGAGGCATGGAGGATGATTGCTAAGCTCTGCGGCGTAACGGCTATAGCACAAATCCGAGTGCGAGTTTCACTTCGCCTTAAAAATTCGATGCGCCCACGCCGAGCTGACACGCATACACCAAGTTCGGAAAGTTGAAATACTTACTTTTGGAGCCCTGCATCTGCACTGAACCCGAAAACTGCAACAAATCACCATCATGGCTACCACGCACAGCCAAGACGAGGCTGCATCGTTTGACGATGTCGAGAAGGCTTCATCGCAGCTATCCGATCCGAAGCCAGAACCAGACGCGCCTCCGACAGACTTTATCGTTTCATTTACCGGCGACGATGATCCCCGTAGCCCAAAGAGCATGTCCACTGCGCGGAAATGGTTGATTACTATCATCGTGTCGACTACGAGTTTGTGCGTGGCATGTACGAGCTCGCTCTATGTGGGCACGTATAGCCAGCTTGAGAAGGAGTTTCATTCCAGCGAAGTCGTGGTCACACTCGGTCTCAGTCTTTTCGTCGTTGGACTCGGTATCAGTCCCATGCTACTTGCACCGTTGAGTGAGGTAAGTTACCGTGTCTACCTCGCAAAGCTACCTTGGATTCTAATGATTGCAGTTCTACGGCAGAAAACCTGTCTACGTTGGCTCTCTCTTCTTCTTCGTTGTCTTCATCATCCCTTCCGCCGTTGCACAGAACCTAGCGACGATCATTGTAACCCGTTTCCTCGATGGATTCGCTGGAGCGGCTTTCTTGAGCGTGGCAGGAGGTACCGTCTCGGATCTATTTCCAAAGGCTAAGCTGGCATTCCCAATGATGATATATACCCTGGGTCCTTTGTACGTTCTTCTCCCCTTGACATCAAAGGATGGGGTTGCTTACATTTCCACAGCCTTGGACCACAGCTGGGACCGCTCGTCGCGGACTTCATCAACTACAACACCAGCTGGCGATGGACATTCTGGGTGGCACTCATATGGGCATTTGCTCAATGGGCAGCTATCATCATCTTCGTCCCCGAGACATATATGCCAGTTCTCCTCCGCAGAGAAGCAAGAAAGATACGCAAAGAGAGCGGAGACGATCGGTGGTACGCGCCGATTGAGAAGATGGATCGCTCTATTGCTCAAGTTCGTAGTATCACCGCGATATGATTTCAAGGCTCACACTTCGCAGACTATTCTTCGATCCTGCTACCGGCCATTCCTCCTGCTCACGCTTGAGCCCATGTGTCTCTGCCTCTGCCTCTACTGCTCCGTCCTCCTCGGCGTACTTTACCTCTTCTTCGGCGCTTTCGGCCTGGTATTCCGCGAGAACCACGGTTTTAAGCTTTGGCAGGTTGGTCTTACCTTCCTCGGCATCACGGTGGGTATGATTTTGGGCTCTGCTTCGAACCCATTCTGGAACAAGAACTACATGCGCCTTCTCAAGAAGCACGAAGAGGAGCATGGCGAGAAAGGAGGATCTGAGCCAGAGTACCGTCTCCCGCCAGCCATTGGAGGATCACCTCTAGTGGTCATCGGTTTGCTCTGGTTTGGATGGACGACGTATTCCTCGGTCCACTGGATTGTTCCCATCGTCGGCAGCGCATTCTTTGGCGCTGGTGTAATCATGATTTTTTCCGGTGTCTTCACATTCCTGGTGGATGCATACCCACTTTACGGCGCGAGCGCGCTCGCAGCAAATAGCTTCGCGCGGAGTATGTTTGCTGCTGCGTTTCCGCTTTTTGGCCCCGCAAGTAGGTACTATTGCTTCGGCAATGAGATGAAGTGCTAACGTTTTCGCCCAGTGTACAACAACCTTGGTTTTCAGTGGGCGACTTTCTTGCTAGCCATGCTTACGCTTGTGATGGCTCCGTTTCCGTACATATTCTACCGCTATGGGAAGGAGATTCGGAAGCGGAGTAAATACGCTGGCTCCAGGTAGATCGAGGCGGCTAATTGTTGAATCTAAACTTTGCATGGTATGGCCTCATAGAGTTGGAAGCCTTTGACTTGAATCAATCGAGCAGCGACTAATACACATTGGTCCTCAGGAACCCGTTGAGGCGGAGGGCGCATAGGAGTTCATTCGGTGGTTGTCGTCGTGTTATCAGGGAAATCTGGACAACAAAACTTCATGATCTATAGTAATGAATAATGAATGCATTTGTACATAACATAAAGCTAGGCCCCAAGCTGTCTGACCACCCGCAAATATGGCACCAAGCCAAGCTCTTTTAATCCCTCAATCGCTCTCCCGTAATGACCTCTATTATCCCTACAATCCACTTGTTCTTGAACGAAGACTATCTCCTTCTACATGTCCGACTTAGGGGAGATTCCGGTACTCGGTTATAAGCCTGGGAACATGGAATTATCACTGCTTGGCTCAAATCTTGCTCACTCGACACCACTGTGAGGATTCATCATGGAGAACTGCGAAGGTACCACGACTATTATCCCGCCTATCTCCAACCGCCGTCCATCTCCTATACAAGGCCGCTCTAAGGCTACAATGCCTCGTCATTGAAATCCGTATACCCGTTTACCGCTGCGTAAGGAGCTTAATAGTATTTTCAGCATTCCAAATAAGAGAGGAATCTGGCAACTCGGGGAACTACTAAACTTGCGAGGCTGTCTCAGACAGCGCCAACAAGGTGTACGCCAATTGGAAGTGTATCCGGCTGCCCCAGTTTCTATTAGTACGTTAGAGTCCTATAGACAGTGGCAGGAAAGTGTACGGATATCTATAGCAAGGCACTATAACCAGTATCCGGATCTATACTTGCATATCTACTGCTGCTAACACAAACGCATTAGTATTTCCGTTTTAAATCGGTGGGAACATGTTTACCGCTGCTATAAGGGCCTTACTAAGGCAGAATATAAAGTCGCAAAATTCTATTTCCTCTGCAATATATAGATAACTTGTAAGGAAGATTAGAAGACGTATTACTAGAATTATATCGACGATATAGACGTGCCTTTCTACTGTAACCCTGTTACTTTCCTTTATAGCCTTGCTCTTCCTAGGTATTGCCCCGGCTGTCTTAGAAATAAAGACCTAATAGCAGCCGCGAGCCGCATATACTATTTTAAAACGATATTTAGATAGAGTTAATATATTTTAGAATATATTCCGGAATATATTAAGCGCCTACAACCGCTTATAAAATACAATAGCTCTATTCCTTGCCCCTATCCCTTATACCCTCTAACGTGCAACACAAGCGAGCCGGCCACCCAAGCGAGCCGGCCACCTCATCACCAAAACGCGCTCCGTTAGCTTTCAACCACCATGTCTCAACAACGCAATGTACAATCAATCCAAAAAGAAGGCCGAATCTGCCTAGCTATCTTAGCAATTGATAAGAATCAACTTCAAAGCGAACGACGCGCTGTTGCAACGTACAACGTCCCTAGAAGCACGCTCCAAGACCGACGCGCCGGAACCACCGCTCGACGCGATTGTGAGCCCAATTCAAAAAAGCTTGCAAAGCTAGAGGAATCAGTTATTATTGAACATGTACTCGATCTGGATTCGCGAGGGTTTGCGCCTAGCTTAAACGCTGTAAGAGATATAGCCAATAAGTTACTCAGAGAGCGCGGTGCCGGCCAGGTTAGCAAGAACTGGCCATGCAACTTTGTTAAGCAGACCGATAAGCTTTAAACACGGTTTAATTAAAAATACAATCGCCAGAAAGCTCTATGCAAAGATCTAAGGATTATTGCGCTGTGGTTTAAGCTTGTGCGCAATATAAAGGCAAAGTATAGTATTATAGATAATAACTTCTATAACTTTAATAAAACTGGCTTCTAGATAGGTGTTATCTTAATAGGAGTAGTTGTTACAGGCTTTAAGAGATAAAATTAACTAAAAGCTATATAACTAGGTAATTGTAAGTAGGCTACTATAATTAAGGCTATTAACGCATATAAATAGGCAATCCCGCCGTTTATTATCCTTGCGGGCAAGTACTACCTTTCTATATAGTATAAGGGCAGCAATATACCGCTAGACTAGGCTATAGCAGTAAGCAACAATAGCTGGACGATAAATAAGCTTGGTATTATATAGCTATAATATTTTAATACGTATATAAAGGACCGCACCGTAGGCGCATATTACTTACTTATTTTAGACGGTTATAAAAGCTATAACTTACTTAAATTTAAAGAGCTTTATAAGAAGAATAATATTATTATACTATATATACCGCCGCACGCCTTATATCTATTACAACCGCTTAATATAGGCTGTTTTACGCTATTAAAAAAAGCGTACGGTCGCTAAATTAAGGATCTAGCGCGCAACTATATTAACTATATTATAAAGCTTAAGTTCCTACTAGCTTTTAAAGCAGTATTTAACAACTTATTTATAAAGAGTAATATTTGCGCAAGCTTTTAAGGCGCCGGCCTTATACTGCTTAATTTAGAGGCAGTGCTCTTAAAGCTTAATATTATACTTTATACGCTGTTGCCTCTCGCCGTAGTAGAGGCTTAATAGAAATTAAAAACACTAAGTAATACTTTTAAGCTAGGCTCTTAATTAGCTTTAATTTATAATTGCATTTAAATATATTAAAATAGCTTTTTTACTGCAATTCTTAAGTTACTTAATTCGCTTATTAAAGGCGCTAAGATATAGATATATAGGGCAGTATTATTATATAATTAGGTTATAAGCCTTTAAAAGGCGAATAAGGCCGCTATAAAGCGTAGAGAGCGCAAAAAAAAGCAAATTTAGAGGCAAGAAGTTCTAATAAAGGTATAGGGGTCTAATATAATTACTTAAAAGGAAGCTAATAAACAAATTAAAGGCGAAATACGTTAAAATAGGAGGCGCCCGGGTGGAAGTGCACGGCAGCAAGCGCGCTATAGGCGCTACGGCGAGACAGGATATAATACTCGTATATATTAAAAAGATAAGAAAGTTATTATAGAATAGACTGCAAGTTAAATTAAGTTAATATCTATTAGCGTTGTGGAGCAATCTATATTTAAAGCTGTTAAAAGTTAATAAGGTGGCCGGCTCGCTTAGGTGGCCGGCTCGCTTGTGTTGCACGTTAATACTTTATTCGGAGCAAGAATTATAGCACTATTTTAGAGATATTTACAGTACTTATAAGCCTAATTATAGGATTAAGCGCAAAAGTCGAGTAGATAATAAGGATTAAAATAAAAAAGCCGAAAGTTCTAAAGTTATATAGCCCCGAAAAAAGCAGAAAGGTGCGACCTTTAAGCCGCCCACCTATAAGCTATCTACCTAGCCGAAATTAGTCTATTATATAAAAGGTTCTATAGACTATAGATTTATATATTTTAAGCCTATTAATTTTAATCTAAGCCTAGTAATAGTTCTTAGTATAGTAGTAGTATTTAGCGGGTTTTTTTTACGTTATACTACCCTAGAGACTATTTAAACTTAAGGCGTATATTTTTCTACTAGTTCGCTACTATTATCTAGTAATATACCGGTTAACGCAGGTATTTTTAATACTAATATAGTATATTTAACAATTGTTAATAAAGTAATTAAGCCGCTATTTTCTATTATAAATATAACCTAAAGTATATATTAAATTAACTATATCTAATTAAGAATATAGGTAATCCTATAAAAAATATAAGGGATAATAATCCGGCTAATACTATTACTTACAGCAATTAATTAGATCCTAAAATCTCCTTTAATAAAGAGATTAGCTCTAGTTTACTTACTATTCCTTTACCTATTAATTTACGTCCTTAGTTATTAATAAAGATTTAGCTAATTAGAGGCTCTAAATTTAGCTCCTATAATAAAAACTATAACTAGGTAAAGCAATTTAAATATATATAGTTACTATATATAAGAGAGTTTATAGAGTTAAGCTTAACTAAATAGTTCTACTAACTAGTATAAACTAAGTTATATATACTAGTAACTATATAAAAAGGAATATAATATATAGAGCACCTAAATTAAGTTTTAAAAGTATACTATAGTAGTATAAAACGGTGTAGTATATATAGAGCACCTAAGTAGGAAGAAAAAAAGGTATAGTATATATAGTATATATAGGCAGATAAAGCAGGCGCAGTATATATAGGTAGAAAAAGAATTAATTAAGGCAGCGCCTATAAAAGCGTGTAGTATAGCTATATAGCTAGCTACTAGAAGTAGTAATAGATAGAGCTTACTATAGAATAGCAGCTAGAGCCTAAAGGCTAAAGTAGTATATTACCCTTTATAAGTATATACTATAGGCTATATACTATAGGCTATATACCTATATTTTTATAGGTACTATTCTACCTTACTATAATACTAAGGGCGCTTTTAGTCCTAGCTACTATAAGGTTTCCTAGTAGTATTAACTAATAGATCTGCTAGTAGCTTTTTAGCTATAGTATTTTTATTTATAACCTTTTAACCGGCTTTAATATATATACTATAGTTTTACTGCTTTTTAAATAGCTTTATAAGCTTATATTCGGCTACCGGCCTTTAGGTAACTTAATTAGTACCCTTTCTATTACTTTTAGAACGCCGCTATTTTTTAACCTGCTATAAGGCCTTATAAAGTTAGATATAAAGGTCTATATAGAATTATATATAGCTAATTAGTAATATTAATACTATATAACGTATTCCACTACTAAGCCGGCCAAACCACCGAGCCGGCCACTTTTCCTTAGTATAACCAACACTATATTTACACAGCAATACATTAACAACGCAGCGATTATCTATCTTAGTAAGAAGGCAGTATTAATCTCGCGCTTTAAGCCTTTACCTCTAGTTAATTTAGAACTATATAACGCGCTGCAGCAGCCTTTAACGTACGATATTAGCGGCTCTTTAATCGGCTCCACGGAATTACGTTTTAACCTTAATTACAACTAAACTACCTAAAGTTTACTGCGACCGAAGAGCATATAATTATATAATATATCCTT